TTGCTTTGGCCTAGAAAATCACCGATGAGATGCACAGCCTCCACTTCACACCAAACAACCTCTCCAGCCTAGAGTGCCAGATGCATTTCCAAAACTTCATGGGATTAATATGGAGTAATATTGACTATTTTACCCCCAAAGACCCTCTAATCTTCCCCCTCCTTTCGCTTTCATCAGTTTCTTTCATTTATAATTTTAACCCACTTCAAAAATATGTTACAAAAAAGGATAAACGGTAATACAGAAAATGTTCTAGAAAAAATCTCATGAAATGCATTTAATAAAAATAAATAAATTTAGGAGTCCCCTCCCTCAATTATGCTTATCCTTGATGGGCTTATACTATAATGAATTCAAATTTAGTTCTCAATATGCATTAATTGAATATTTTTTATTTTTATTTTCTAATTTTCATAAGATTCAATAGAGAATTAGCAAATAATTTAACCCTGAAGTCAGAACTTCTACTAAATTCACATTATTTCCATGACTTAGGTGTCTTAATTTTCACAAGTATAATAATTGAAAAAAATCCCTTTACAATTTTATGGTTTATAGGGTCTGGTATTGAGAATCTCCGTAAAATGATGTTGTATAGAGTGTTATGAAGAGGAGAACAGCTAATCTTAAAACCATAGAAGTATTTAGTGTGTGATTACATTTATGTAATATTTTTGAAATGACAAAATTTTGGAAATGGAGGATACAATATAGGTTGCCAGGGGTTGGGAGGGGGCAGAGAGGAAGGTAGGTGTGGTTACACAAAGGCACCATGGGGGAATCCTTGAAACTGTTCAATATCTTGACTGTGATGATGAACACATAAACCTACACGTGTGATTACATTGTTCAGCACTAAATACAAACACAAGTAAAACCGAAAATCTGAATAAGATTGGTAGATTGTATCAATATCAATATCCTGGTTGTGATACGGACATTTGCAAATTGTTACAATTGGAGGGAAACTAGGCAAAATGTACAAGAAATCTCTCTGTATACAACTGTGTGATCTCAAAGTTTTATTTAAAAAATGCAAAAAAGTCTCATTAATCCAGAAACAATAAGAGATAACATACAAGACCTTTTTAGCCTCGGAAACCAAGGAGACACTCAGAGCTGCCCCCACCCCAGCCGAGGTGCAGGCAGAACAGTGCTGCCAAAGTGGCCCTTCTCTGACTCTCCTCCCTATCTGAGCTACAGTTGAAAGATTTCTGGGAAGGGAGGGAATAAAATAGAGGCATACTGTACACTGGACCTGATCATCCCAGAAAACAACACAACCCAATAATGTACGGAGCAATGCAAACGGCTAAAACATGTATCTACAGGCTATCAGCAACAGAATTGCAGAAAAGTAATTGTGTAGTGAGTGATTTCATATTATCCCCTCCGGTGGACCATACACTTCACCAGGAAGTAGAAGCATGAGCAGTCATGCTCACCGTTATATCTCAGCCCCTAGCACTGCATTTGACACGTAGAAAATGCTCAATATATGTTCACTGTGTTTGGATGAAAAAAATGAAAAGCCCATATGGCTTGTTCTATAGTATGGCTTCTCTTTTCCTTCCCTACAAATCTCCTTCATTTTCTCCTCACCCATCACCTACACTTAAACACATACACAGGGATCAAGGCTGGGCAGTCCTTTAACCTATCTGTGCCTCCGCCCTGCTCACCTGTGAGACAAGGATAACAATAATCCCTGCTTCAGAGGACTGCCATAAGAACTTTAAAAATTAAAAATTCAGCACTTACAACAGTATTTGGCAGATTGTAAGTGCCATGTTGGTGTTTGTTCAACTGCCACATGATTCTGACACAGATTAAGAGTTAGCTCAGACCTGGCAGGTGAAGGGCACCATCCTCCTCCACAAGCTCTGGGGTTCCCAGGCCACCTGTGCTACCGACACACTCTCTACAAATTTGGGGGGTTCCCACTCCCCCTTGGATTCAATTAGTCACTAGGTTGACTCATTGAACTCAGGAAAGTGATGTACTTACGATTACAGATGTATTGTAAAGGATACAAATCAGGACCAGACAAATGACTAGATGCACAGGGTGAGGTCTGGGAGGGCCCCAAACACGAAGCTTCTTTGTCCTCAGTACTCCTTACCTGGCAGCATATCAATACGTGAGTACCAACCAGGAAGCTTACTGCAGCTTCAGTGTCCAGGAGGTTTTTATCAGGGTTTCAGTACACAGACATGGATGACTGAATCATTGGCCCCAGCCTCCCTCTCTTTCCTACTTGGGAAATTTCAAGGCTTTAGAGGTTATCTCCCAGGAGCCAGGGACAAAGATCAGCCAAATTCTTTACTATACAACATACGGAAATTTTAGTAAATTGAATAGGCAGAAGGGAGGACAAAAAAAAAACATTTCAGGAAGGGAGGTGTCTGAAAATAAAGAGGCAGAAATAAGTGTGGTATGGTCATGGTACAGTAGAAACACCTGTTAGGTGATTAGCTTTGCTATGTTGGAATGTGCCAGCCTTGAAGTTGAAAGACCATGGGTCTGCTTTTCGATAACTATGGTGCCATCTTGTGGGAGTATAGGGATCATTGTAAACCAGCTTAAATCCTTTCTCTGAGAGGGGGACATAATTTAAATAGGCATACACAGAACTTAGTGGATTGAAACAACAAAACTATATTATCTCTCACAATACTGTGGGTTAATGGGGCAGTTTTCTGGCTTCATTGCAATTCATGTGTCTGCATCAGCTGGCTGATGGCTGGACTGAAACTCCAAGAAGGCCTCTTTCACACATGCAGTGCCTTGGTGCTGACAGGTAGGGTGCCTACAGAATGTCTCTCTACAGGTGATGTCTCAACTTCTAGTGCTTCTCTACACGATGGCCTCGCTACAGCAGGACAGTCTGGACTCCCTGGCAAGAGAGCAAAGGCAGAAACTGCCAGTTGTGTTAAGGCACAGCACTTTTTCCACCATGTTCTTTTGGTCATAGCAAGTCACACGACCAGTCCAAATTCAAGGGGAGGGGGAGCAAATTTCATATCCTGATGGGAGGAGCAGCATGTTGCATGTGTGTACAGGGAGGGAAGGAATCATCACAGCTGTCTTCAGAGACTCTACCATATTCTCTGATTCCCAGCTTACTCATCTGAAAATGTGTATTTTATTATCTACTTCAACTAGATTAATGAGATTAAAACACATGATATATAAGTGACAGCATTTTATAAATTTTAAAGTGCTAAACAAGTACAATATATTATAGTGGTGGGTGGTAAAGGCAGATTGGAAGAACGAGAGCAAATTATAAAAGGAGATAGATTGTAATAACATTTATTGAGCATTTACTATATGTCAGGCATTGTACTAAGTGTCTTACAGGTATCTCCTTTAAATCACCACAACAAACCTTAAAAGATGGATATTTCATTTTATTTTACAAGAAAGGAATTGCAAGTGAGTGGCAGAGCCAAAATTGGAACCCAATTCTGTTTGGTTCCAAAGTCTTAACTACTGTACCCAGAGTTCTTCGATCACTTTTATCTAATCAATCTGCAATTGGGTAAGGGGAGGTAGCAGCTACCCAGAAATACTGAAACAAATTCTTTGGAGGCAGAACATAATCTGCATTTTTAACAACAGCTAGTTAATGTGGGAGAAACATTCAACCTCACTGTATATAGTAAGCCTTCTAAGGTTTTTCACTAGTTCAAAGATACTAAGAAGACCAGCTTAGAGGAAATGTAGGATTGCAGGTGTAGAAGAAAACAAATTAGAAAAGTGCCTGGCTATTGGGAGAATAATTATGTTTCCTAGAGGTTGATGCTAAAGCTGGGAAATGAAAGTAAGACTAGAAAAGTTAAAAGTCAGACCCAACAACTTGCAAATAACCAAATTTATATTTATTTATTAATTCATCAATTTTTTTACCTTTTTGCCTTTGGGCTTGTTATTTCCTGTGCTAGAAAACCCCAAGTTCCTTCACCCCACCCAACTTGGCTAACATTTATTCCTTTTGGGTTTGATGAAAGATATGCGCCTTCTCTGGGAAGTTCTTTCCGGCCATCTCCCACCCCCAGGCGTTCCACATGTGTGCTGTGCCTTCCTCCATCCTATCAGTTAGGCCCTAAATGTTGGTTTGTGTGCCTTCTTCAGCACTAAACAGGAGAACCTTGTGTAGGAAGAGAGGGGGGAGAAAAGGAGAGATTACTAGTAAGAGATGGGTCTTAGAAAGAGCCACCGCAAAGTTGCACCGTGTTTGTACTTTGAAGAGGCGTGAAGACCTGTTGAGAATTGAAGATAAAGTTTATGTCAGCGGTTCTCAACCTGTGGGTCGCGACCCCTTTGGGGGTCGAACGACCCTTTCACAGGGGTCGCCTAAGACCATCGGAAAACACATATATAATTACATATTGTTTTTGTGATTAATCACTGTCCTTTAATTATGTTCAATTTGTAACAATGAAAATACATCCTGCATATCAGATTCATAACAGTAGCAAAATTACAGTTATGAAGTAGCAACGAAAATAATTTTATGGTTGGGGGTCACCACAACATGAGGAACTGTATTAAAGGGTCGCGGCATTAGGAAGGTTGAGAACCACTGCTTTATAGAGTTGATGTCTCTTCATGACCAGGACAATTAAAAGCAGCCTGGAAAACCCGTCCCTCCAATAATTACATGCATTTTAACTTAGCCCATATAACAGCTGGTTGAAATTTTGTAAATACAAGAACAGATTTTTTTTTTCTTCACATGGGCTGGAATGAGCCTTTTTTTTCTTCACATGGGCTCGAATGAGCCTGATAAGTGATCTGAGCAAATTACTTAAGGGACCTTCCCATCCGGGCAGCACCTGCCCCAAGCTAGCATGGCGGCATCGGCTTCATCCCGGTCACACCCCTAGTTACCCTATGGGCCTTAGTGGAGCCCGGGCTGGTAGACTGCGCTGCCCGACGCGCTTTGATGACGGCGCACCCGCGCCTGGGAAGCGGGACGAGCAAGTCTGCGCAGGCGCAGCACGGCCGCGGTGGGCGGAGCCGGCGGGATGAGTGGCGGCGGGCCGGAGGCCGCTGTGGGTGGTGAGGCCCCTGCGGCGGGCGGCAACAAGAAGAAGGACTCACTGGGAACCGCGGGCTCGCCGGCGCACCTCATTATCAAGGGTACGGAGTGCAAGGGACATCGCCCTGGTGGGAGCCAGGGCGGCCTCGCCTCCCAGGCGGCGCCCTCTGCCCCGGGGTGGCGAGGCGAGCAGGGTCGTGGCCGCGCCCCCTAGTTCTCTGCTCCCGGCGCCTCCTAGGAACGACCCGCCCAATCTCTCTTACTTCCTCCAGGGAAAAGCCTGGACGTGGGCCTCCTCTCCCGTCCCCAAGCCCGGGACCCCGGCGCAGGGCCTCCGTGGGCGCGGCCGCGCGGTCCACCCGGGATGCGGAACACGGAGTGGGAGTGGGCCGGGCTGCGCCTCCGGGCGGCCGCGGGGCGGCGGCGGGACCTGAGGTCGTGGCTTCACCCACCTGGCTCTGTCTGCGCCTGGTCAGGCGGGAGTCAGTGAGATCACAGCTGAAAGCTGTCTTCAAGCTCCGGACACGTGCACAGAGGTCCGTTCTGTCCCGGGTGCTTCGAGCTGGGAGCTTACAGCCTAGTAACCTGGATTCTCACAGGACCCGAATTTAGGTAGAGTCCAGAGCTCGCCACCCTGTTTCCTGCAACGGGGTCTTTGCCAGTCTCTCATCGCCGGTCTTCCTTAACCCCCTGCAGTGTGGAAGGAGCCCTGGGAGGACTCCCGAGCCCTTCAGCACCGCCCGGGGCAGGCCCGTCGGATGCCGCCTGTTCATTTTAACCTTAGCTGTTAGGGTTGGAGAGTGCGGGAGCGGGGCACAGGTGTTCCGGCTGCATTATAATTGTTTATAGGTGTAATCTTAGTGAACTACCACTTCATTTTTTTTCGTTGTAGTAAAATACCTCGTAACAAGTTTTATCTTAACCATCTTTAAGTGTACAGTTCAGTGGTGTCAGTACATTCACATTGTGCAACTGTCACTGCCATCCGTCTCCATAACGTATCTTCCCAAAGTCTGTGCTCATTCAACACCCACTCCCCGCGGCTTCTAGCAGCCACCATTCTATTCTGTCTCAGGACTACTCAAGGTACTTTATATAAATATAATCAGACAGTGTTTGTCATTTTGTGATTGGCTTATTTGACTTAACCATCCTCAAGGTTCATCCATACTGTAGCATGTATCGGAATTTCCTTTTTAAAGCTAAGTAATATTCTGTTGTATGTATGTATGTGTATATACACACCACGTTTTGTGTATCCATTTATCCGTGGGTGGACACCTATGGCTTCCACCTTTTGGTTATTGTGAATATGGGTATGCACATTATGTTTGAGTCCCTGCTTTCAAATTTTTTGAGTATATACCCAACACTGGAATTGCTGGGTCAAAGATAATTCTGTTTTTTAATTTTTTGAGCAATCGCCATATTGTTTTCCATAGAGGTTGTATGATAGTACAGTCTCACTAACTGCACAAGCATTCCAGTTTCTTCACATCCTCACCAAGACTTGTCATTTTCTGTTTCTCTGCTGGTCCCTCCTAATGGGTATGAGGTAGTATCTTGTAGTTCTGGTTTTCATTTCCCTAATAAATAGTGATGTTCATCATCTTTTTATGTGCTTAGTGGCTATTTGTATAGCTTCTTTGGAGAAATGTTCATTTGAGTCCTTTGCCCATTTTTATATAAAATAATTTGGGTTTTTTGTTGTTGTTTTAGTTGTAGGGGTTCTTTATTCTGGATATTAACCCCTTTTCAGATACATGATTTGCATATATTATCTCCTATTCCATGGGTTACCTTTTCACTCTGTTGATTGCATCCTTTGTACAGAACTTTTAATTTTAATTTACTTTAAAAAAAAAAAGATAATTCAAGGGAAGTTTTTCAAGTTAATCCAAAATTGAGTTGCAATTGAAAATATGTCTGAACAGCCTTGGCTTTTTCAATGGATCCGTTCATTCTAAAAAATCTATTTTTAGTTCATCTTATTTGAAGACTGTCAATTGTGAACAGATATTTGTTTAATTTTGTTGCTAGAGTCTAGTGAAAGGGAAACATATAAATAAATGATTTCGATACTTAGGCCTTGGATCTTTGAGGGTTTCTGGCCCATGGGTGGGTGATAGGGGCGGGGACTGGGAGACAGGAGCATCTTCCTGGAGGATGGAGTGTCTGATCTGCGTCTTGAGGAATAAAGTATTGGCAGTTAACAAAGAGGGCAAGGTATTTTGGACTTTCGAACACCATGAGCAAAGGCATGCGGGCCTACAACAGCAGGAGTGTCTGGGAAATGAGGTGGAGTTCCATGGAAATCAGACCATAGAAGACTTTTCCTTCAATGGCAGGAAACTATCCAATAATAAGTATGAGAATCATGTGATTAGATTTGTATTTTAAGTAAAGCACTTGGGCAGATAGTAGTTGGTCCTCAGCTTGTGGATTGCATATTTGTGAGTTTGCCTGTTTGCTAAGATAAATTCATAACTCCAAAATCAATGTTGGTGGTGCTTTCATAGTCATTCCCACATAGGCAGAGTAGAGAAAAAAATTTAGCTGCCCTGCGTGCACATTAATAGCTGAGTTTGAACAACACACCACTGCTTTTTGTTTCAGCTCTCTTACAGTAAACAAATGTCCTTTTTGCTCTATTTAGTGCCATGTTTTTCACTTTTATGTAATTTTTGTTGTTGGTTTTGCTGTTTAAAGTGGTTTCCAAGTATAGTGCTGAAGTGGCCCTAAACACAAGAAGGCTGTGATGTGCCTTAGAGAGACAATACATGTATTGGAGAAGTTTCTTTCAGGTATGAGCTGCAGTGCTGTTTGCTGTGAGTTCTGTGTTAATCAGCCATCCAGACAAAAAGAAGAAAATTCATCAATCTGTATGTGAGGCCACTTCAGAAAGTGCCAAGGTAACATTTATGGTGGTGTGATGAAGCAATGGAAAAGCAGCTAAATTTGTGGGTTTATGACCCATAGAGAAAGTGTAGTGGACAGCACTGTGTAAAGTTGAAAGCCAAAGAAATCTATAGTTCAGTTACCAAGGGTCAGGGAAATGTTAAACCCTTCTGGGCTAGTGCTGGCTGGCATTCTCAGAGGTGGTACAGTGTGAAAAAATGTTAGACTTGCCGATGAAGCAGGTTCTGCAGATCAGGAGGCTGTAGAACTTTAAAAATACCTGCTAAGAGTTATACCGGAAAAAGTGTTATTGGAAGAGCAGATCTTCAACACTGAGGCTGGTGTGTTTTACAAGGATCTTGGTAAACAAACCTATATGACACCAATAGCATTTTGGTTAACAAAAATATGACAAGACGTTTATAGGAACCTAATCTCATATTTCTTTTAAGAGCAGTAGTTCAGTATTCTATAGTTCAGCATTCATGACAACTTTACAAACATAACTACTGCAAATAATGAGAATTGACGCTGTATGGAGTGGGTTATAGAGAGGTGTGACCAACTGTTGATGTAGTCCAAGTGAGACAAGGAGGGATGGAAAAGGGGATGATTTGATAAGTTGTGAGGAAGAATAACATATAAATGTTGACACCAAAGGTATAAATAGGAAAAATTGCAATGCAGTAAATTGTTCCTTAGGACATACAAAGCTTCACATATTACATTGAAGGCCTCCAAATTTAAGACCAGAGTAAAAAACTTACTTAATGAGAGATCTGCAATTTACTACATTCCTCCTTGTTCCATAATTCCATAGCATATTGATCTTCCACTAAAGTGATTATCCTAACCTATGTGTGAAGGTTTATTTGTCTAACTCTCACAGTAGAGTATGAACTTTTGGAGAACGGAAGATGATATCTTTTATCTTGTATATCAAGCAACAAAAGGATGCTTCCCATGTAGCTGTGTGAAAATCTGTAGCTTATATTTGTTTACATTATTTATAGAGACTTTACGTATTTGTAATCCTTGGGACTCCAATAAACTCTGAATTATTATAATGCGCTTGTTTTATTATCCTATTCTATATAATTAAAGCCTAATATGCTGAGTGTCCAGTCGTCCGTTCAACCAATCAAAGTGTAATATGCTAATGATATACTAAGGCCGCTCAACTACTTGCTATGACATGCACTTGACCACCAGGGGGCAGATAGTTGACCAGTCACTGTGACATGCACTGACCACCAGGGGGCAGATGCTACAAATGGTAGGTTAGCTTGCTGCTGGGGTCCAGCCGATCAGGACTGAGCAAGATGGGCCGGACACACCCTGGAGCCCTCCCGCGGTCCCTCCCCAGCTGGCCAACCTCCCACGTCCCTCCCAGGCCCCGATTGTGCACTGGTGGGGTCCCTCGGCCTCGCCTGCGCCCTCTCGCAATCTGGGACCCCTCGGGGAATGTCAGAGAGCCAGTTTCAGCCTGATCCCGCTCAATGCAGGAGCTGCCCCCTGGTGGTCAGTGTGCTCCCACAGGGGGAGCGCTGCTCAGCCAGAAGCCCGGCTCACGGCTGGCAAGTGCAGTGGCGGTGGTGGGAGCCTCACCCGCCTCCACGGCAGTGCTAAGGATGTCTGACTGCTGGCTTAGGCCTGTTCCCTGTGGGGAGCGGACCTAAACCTTCAGTTGGACACCCCCCGAGGGCTCCCGGATTGCAAGAGAGCTCAGGCCCGGCTGAGGGACCCCCACCCCAAGGGCACGGATTTCATGCACCGGGCCTCTAGTAATGTTATAACAAAACTAGTTAGTGGCTTAATTTCTACAGTAATGTGTGTTTCAGAATCTTCTCCCTCTGCACCCCCCCCCCCAAATCTTTACTATCTTAAATTCGTGGTTTTAGAAGTGATCACTATCTACGTCCAAACAATTGAATCATCTCGCTAAAGGTTAAGTAATGACTTCTTAGTCACATAGAAAAATACATGTTAATTCATTTATGCACTCCGGACATGTAAATAATTTGGTCTCGAAGATGCTTGCTGGAGGAGAGAGAGGATTTTAGTAAGTGATATGATGGAAATATATGCACTGTGCTTTGGGAACATACAATAGGGACATTCCTTGAGACCTAAAGGAAGCTAGGTAGAATTAATGAAAATTTTAAAGAAGTTCGATGTCTGAGCAGTTTTGGGGAATGGTTCCAGGTGATGACAATAGTATGAACTGTGGCAAGGATGCATGAGGCAGCATGGTGTGTTTGGAAAACTGCAGGTAGCTCAGAATTGCTGACAGGTGAGGAGATGAAGCTGGAGCCAGACCATGGAGGCCCTTATGTGGCTTCTAAGGAGCTTGGAATCTTGTCTCTTACCTGGACACTGGTGGTTATTTGAGATGTGACTAAGTTCAATTGTCAAATAAGGTCCATAAATTTCTGCATAGCATAGTCCTCACTTGGGCATTCACAATTCATGTCTGTATGCTATAGACTCCCAGAAGATTGAAGGTAAAGGAATCTGCCTAACTTGATTTTCTCTGTTTCCCAACCTAAGTAGAATTTTTTTAAAAAAATTAATTCCTAGTATCTTTCCAGAGAACTGTTTTAGGTAATGAACCATTGAATGATTTAAGCAAAAGTAGTTCTTTTATTTATATATTTTTACTTAGCATACTTCCCACAATGTATCCCAATAAAACTCATTAAAATAGAGAATTGAATTTACCCTGTTGCATATCTGCAAAAATAAGAAACTTGAGGAACAGATGATACCAATGAGTGAATATGAATGGCACATGTTCTTATTTGGAGATTTAACTCCTCCAGGAATTTTGAGGTTTACTCCTTAAACTATGTAGTTGTTACTAAGTAGAATGAATAGAATGACTCACCCAAAACAGTTAAAATTCAGAACTTTTTTCTTTAATTATGTCTTTTTCAGACCCATTAAAAAGTTCAGAGACTTATAATGAACACTGACCCACCATCTTAATAAGTAAACATTAAAAGACCACTGTGTGGGATGAATAGAGCACAGAGGTTTTTTTAGAGCATGAAACTATTCTATATACCACAATGTTGAGTACATGTCATTATACATTTTTCAACACCAAGAGTGAATCCTAATGTAAACTATTTACTTTGAGTGATAATAATGTGTCAATGTAGGTTAATTGATTGTAACAAATGTACCACTGTGGTGCAGGTATGTTGATAGAAGGGGGATTGTGGGTATGTGGGGATGAGAGGTATAATGGAACTCTGTGATTTCTGCTTAATTTTGCTACGAGCCCAAAACTGCTATAAAAAAAATTAAGTTTATTGATTAAATTTTTAAAAAGGGGGACCACTCTGTAGTTGCTCAAATTGCATTCTTCTCCCTCTAAAGGTAACCACTGCCTTGAATTTGGTATTTATTCTTCTCATACATTTCTTTGTAGTTTTATTTCTTCTGTATGTATCCCAAAAGGAAGTATCATTTTGCATATTTTTAAAGTTTATATAAATAGCTTTATCCTACTGACCTTTTTTGTGTACAACATTATATTTGTAGAATTTATCCATGTTCATAAATGTAACTCTAGTGCATTCATTTTCTGATGTATAGTATTTTGTCATGAATATGTTTAGGTTGTTTCCTTTTTTCTTTTGACATCACACTCATTTATAAGAGTCTCTTTCATTTGGGTAAGCGTTTTTCTAGAGCACATAGGTAGGCATGAAATTGCTAGGTATACATGTCTTCAGCTTTATTAGGTACTGCCAAATTGCTCTCAAAAGTACTTGTATCAATTTTCTGGCCGTGGATAAGATTTCCTATTAATACATTGTCTAAACTAGATTTTAACCTTCATATATTTATGGGAAATAGAAAGAGTAAAAACAAGCTAGAGATTGTGCCACTTAACATGGATTAACCTTGGATTTTATTTTGTCTTTATAGATCTTGGAGAAATTCATTCAAGGCTGTTAGATCACAGACCAGTTATTCAGGGTGAAACCCGTTATTTTGTGAAAGAATTTGAAGTGAGTATTTAAAATTTATTTTGTAAAAATACTGCCCTAATTATTAGTGACTTTCATATATGGAAGGGACATTCTCTAGTTTTAAAATTTCTGATTTCTGTTCATGGTTCATAAAACCTACAAAGTTTTAATAGTAATAGTAAAAACTCTTTAAGAGTTATTACTATTAATGTAAGGAGCACAAGACTAGGCGGTAGGTGACTTGGGCTCAAGTTCTGTGACCTACTCTGGCATATTTAATGTCTGTTGATCTCAGTTTTTTTCATCTATGCAGTGAGATATAGTGAAAAAAAGGTTTTAAAGACTGATTGGTCTAGATTTTCCAGGCCCATTTTTTATATTTTTTTTCTCAGTTGGGGCATCAGCACCCACCCAGAGCACTCAAGTTAAGACATGAGAATTATCCTTAGCTATTCTCTTACCTTTAGGGCCTGTATTTAGTGAACATGTCTTCTGGATGCTACCTCATAAATTTCTAACCCTTCTGACTTATGTGCCTGCTTTATCAACCCAGTAAAATCCTATCTTTACCTTCTTGCCAGAGTGCTCTGACATAACCCTTTTATAATGTTTGTCATCTATAGGATAAAGTCAGGCATCATTCTGTGACCTGTTCCCTACTTTTCTGACTTAACCATCTGCCAACCCACCTTGTGTGCTATGTCCAGCAATACTAATACACCAACCCGCCATCCTATTTCATATTACTACTAGAGTCCCGGTGCCAAAAATTCGGGCAAGGGAGGGGG